TTGTGTGCAGCGACTTGAGCCCATCTCTGCGGCAAGGAGGTTACGAGACTGAGACGCTCCCGACCCATGAACTGGTTGCAAGAACGGGCAAAGCCATCTTCAAGAAAACTGATGCGAGTCGACCGGAAGACGTTGAGGCACTGGTGGACGCAGCCGTGAAGGAGTTCGGAAGGCTCGATATGTCAGTGCACTTCCTCATGGCAAGGCCGAGCGTGGATCAGCCGCGGTTAAATGTTTGCTGACTTTTTTCATTTGCGCAAGCTGCAGTATGGTCAATAATGCTGGCATTTTTTGTGGCCAAAACAGGATCGCTGAAGAGCCTGTAGAAGCCTTTGAGAAAACAATGGTGGGCATTGGACTCCTGGCGGGGGAGAGAACTCCTGTCGCTGATACTGAGCAGGCAGTCAATGCGCGCGGTCCATTCCTTGGAATGAAGTATGCCATCGGGCAGATGATGAAGCAAAGTCCCCACCCATCGGGGTCTCGTGGGTGGGTTGTCAATATTGCTTCTATCGGAGGTCTTGTTGGTCTATCAATGGAACGTGAGTATATACATTGATTTGACCTGGTCCCCTAGTGAATTCCGTGCATTGCAGCTTACACTCTCACCCGTAGCTTCATATTGCGCGAGCAAAGGGGCTGTGGTACTTTTGACCCGACAAGTTGCGCTCGATTATGCCGCCGACAAAATTCACGTAAACGCCATTTGTCCGGGCTTTCTGAAGACAGCTATGGTACGATCTGCTCTGGAAGATGTGGATTTGAACAAGCAGCTACATGCTCAAAGTCCTTGGCCGCATTTGGGTAGCCCGGAGGATGTAGGGAAAGCTGCACTCTTCCTTTGCAGTGACGCGGCGAGCTGGACAACTGGCTCGGTAGTGAATGTGGATGGCGGTTACTGTGCTCAATAGCTCTCGTTTACGATTGTGCTTCGTGATCCGTGAGTGCCATTGAGAACAGGATGTCAATATGTAGAGAATATCAAAAGCTGGCACTGACTTGATTTTGTACTTGAAAGACCGCGCCACCTTGTGAGGACGCAGGCACACGCGCTTCTTTGACCATGAAAAGACATCTCACACGTGTGAGTAGTTGAGTATCGTGGCGGACCATTGACAGTAGCATGAGTTGATGACTGCTACATACTATAGTATTTGACTGCTTTAGAAGCCAGAATTGTAGTCCCTGAGCCACGGAGATTTGGAGCCGCTGTGGAGAGGGAAAAGTATGCCTATTCCTTACAAAAAGAGAGGAGTGGCAGCTTTAGACATACTCGGTCCTTCTCGGGAATTTAGGCCGTGTTTTTTGGGAGCGCTTGCTGCGCATGAATCTGCCAGACTGTACATGATTGAGAATGATGTGAAAACGTGGAAACCACAGAAAACAGTAGTCACCCCACCATGGTACGATTCCCACCATGATAACTTCCTTGCGGTATGCACTATCAAAGATCCTTGTATCCACTTTTTACATCCCTTACAAAGCATATTGGATCTTTCAAGTCCACCCACCCGCAGTACGGACTCGAGACAGAATATCCAATCATTCTCTGGATGCTCTCCGGCATTTTCTTGACCTCCTCTATCGGATTGGCGAGGAATTGATTCTCCTCCTAACGGGAGATTAGTTTCACAAACAGCACGAGGACTACTATAAACACACCTGACGGAGATAGCCACGGCACATAAAGGATCCGAATAGCTTTCGTGGTTGGTCTGTCGTTGTATTTGCAGAGCCTGAGGGGAACCAATCAGTATGCACTATGAATAACGGCTGCTTGAGCGCATGCATCTTTTTACCTCCATGAAAACAACTCGCGAGCATCAGGAACGCGTCGCCGGGCTCCATCTCGGCGTAGACAACCTTACTTTCATCACCAGGTCCATAATCTGAGGCGTCCAAATGCGAGCCCGGGATAAATCTCGTCGCTCCGTTAGCCACTGTTGCTTTGGACGCAGCGAGGAATATTCCGAGTGCCGTATCGCGATCCTTGGTGTACTGATCAGAGGTGATCTTGGGGAGTTTGGTGTGGTGTAGGCTATCGTCACGGTGGAGTTGTTGCGCTCGAGCTCCCGGTCCGATCGCCAGTACAGACGTTGAGTTCAAGTAAGGCGGTGAGACATAGTGTTCTTGCTTATCACCAATCCATGTGCTCGTTCTTGTGGTGAGAAGGTCATTACTGACTGCGGTGAACAGAGGATGACCAAGGACCATTTCTGTATATAGGGGTGACTTTGCTGGTAGCCCGTTTACTCCTGTTTAATTCTTAGCGTACCGGCCAACACTGTCCTGTCATTTACATACGGCGAGTCTCTTTTGGGAAGAAGTCGCCTTCCCATGGTACATCTGCGTCGATGTAAGGTTGAACGTCATTGAGCATTGCATCAATACTCTGCTGGTCTATCATTCCTCGGAGAAAACAACCTCCATTCCTGATCAAAGATTCCACAACCTCCGACTGCGTGGTAGAGCTCGCATCGAAGCTTTCAACGCTATAGCCGCTCGCCGGCGCGGGGACTTCGACTCTGGACATCTTTGTCACGGAAAACACGCAGTAGACAGGGTAAATAAAAGGATTACATGCGGACTATGTAGTCAATTGGGTCTAAGCCATCCCCAAGTTCAGAAAGTGTCTTTCTGAGGTGGCGAGACTGCCAAGTCATGTCTACTTAACTGCCCCCGTAGTCGACTGCCCGATTCAGTGCGCGCCCGGCTTTTCCGCGGCAATCGACGCTTATCTCTCCCTTATCGCATGGCTAATTGCGGGGAAGACCCAACAAACTCTGCCCCCTCTGAGATGTTAGCACATGCATTATTCGCCCGCTGCTAATGATTTCGCTTCAAACGTGTCAGATGTTTCGGTATCGATAATGCCAAGAAAGAAAAACCCCGGGACCCGTGTCTAGAACTCAGCCGTCGGAAACAGTCAAATCTACCCACACAATGGCTCGCAACCAGCCATTTACCGCGAGCCGCGGTTGTGGCAAGTCACAGCGAACATTGGCAGCCACTTGGTTGAGGCGGTGATAGTCGAAGAAAGCCTCTCACCAAACGGGCGCGGCAAGCACGTTGTGGATATCGTTGTAGATAGGTGGACGACCCTGACTACGTCCTTCGGGAGGCAAATGAAGTTGACGATACCCATTGTCTAAGCTCAACGTAACGCGAAGGCACGACGGAAATCATCGAGATCGGCGTATATACGACCCTACATACAATCGCACTTACACTACAAAACCACGCCCTGCCGAAGATCGTGGCTTTCTGAACTAACTCAAACGAGTGAAAACCTCGGCGCCACCTCAAATGTTCACAATGAACTTAGGTGAAGAAGACGACAGGGACAGACCTCTTCCAGAAGTCAAGGTCTTTGACAGCGCATCTGTGACGAACGAAGAGATCGTTGGCGCTCTCATTTCAGCCGGCGGTTGCGTCATCAAGAATGCCTTGAGCACAGAAGATTTGGCGGCAATTGAGAAGGACACTCGTGCACATCTCCTTGCAGACAAACCCTGGGATGGCACTTTTTTCCCGATTCAAACCCGGCGGGTGAACGGTCTTGCCTCCAAGTCCAAGGTCTTCATGGAGAAGTTGGTATGCTACAAAGCTTACCAAGACGCCTGCGACACGCTTCTGACCAGCCGGGTGAGTAATTGGGTTGGCGACGTGCAAGAACACAGTACCTCGAAACCACAGCTCAACAACACCATCGTGTTCTCTATCGGCCCGGGGGCAAAAGTGCAGCCTCTCCATCGCGATGACATGATCCACCACCGTGTCAAGGAAAGAATGGAACCTTCACAGTATACCATCGGCCAGGACAGTGCTATAGGATTTTTCGTCGGAGGTAAGAAGACCACCAAAGCGAATGGGGCCACAAGATTCATTCCTGGCTCGCATCTATGGAAGCACGACACTCCACCAGCAGAAGACTTGTGCGTCTATGCCGAGTTGGAACCTGGGGATGGCTTCATCATGCTTGCATCCTGCTATCACGGTGGCTCCGCAAACACGACAACGAATCAAGAGCGTTTGGTTTACAGTTGTTTTATGACAAAGGGATATCTCAGACAAGTACTGAATGCTCCATACTGAACCCCGAACTTTTGCTGCAGACTGACATTGTTGCGAACAGGAAGAGAACCAGTATCTGAACAATTCGCCCGAAGTACTAGCCTCGCTCTACGATGACGAGATGCTGAAGCTCATTGGTTACAATCTCAGCGCACCATTCTTAGGCTGGATCAAAGAAGGACATCCTTTGGCTGCTCTTGGTAGGGCACAGCCTCTGGGAGATATGTACTAGACACGCCGAGTGCTTCTCTCTATCGTCGATGAAGAGGCTTCAGAGACAGTTTGGGGACCTGGCCGCAAAGTCAATCTATAAAGCTCTGCTGCTCCCTTCTCCTGCTTCTTCTGCGTCTGCCAAAAACTCATCTATCGTCCTGAATGTGAGCCCGTTGAAATACTTTTCTCGCTGCCTCGTCAATTTTTCCTGAGGCAGGAGGCCTGCGCCTGAAATGCTCCAAAGTTCATACTGCGCAGCTATGACGTCGTCCTTGCTGCTCGACGCATCAGCCTCCTGTTTCTCTATGACCTCTTTAGACCTATGGCTGACTCTCAGCGCTGTGCCCCTGGCTTTGAATTTCTCGGCGACAGCATTCCAGGTTGTTGTCTCGCCGCAGACGTAGATGGTCTGTTCCCAGGTCGGAAATTCAAAGAGACGGACAATAGCCTTGGCTGCATCCCGGACAGGAGTAAAACCAACCTTCTCGTTGCCAGTGCCGGGGATTCGGATAGTTCCAGCGGCCAGATCTACGGGATGGTTTTCGCCAATGTCTTTGATGTACCGATGCGATGCTGGAACAAGATAGTCGGTCAACCAGCCGAGATTGAACAATGTCCATCGTATCTCGGTCTGTTCGCGCAGCGCTTTCCGTACTGGCTCGTGGTTTGCATAATAGAAGGTGGGTTGGTCAGGATAGTCGTCCGTATTGCCGGCATACTCGGAGGGAATTAACGATTTGCACTTCGGAGATTGCTGGCAGGCCTCGAGAAGGGCAAGATGGGCGGTCGTGAAGCCCAAAGTATAGTCGAAAATGGCGGAGATAAGGCCGTCACAGTCAGACAAGGCCGAAGTCAGTGTGGCAACCGAAGTGTAGTCGACAGTGGCGAAGGTGATGTCCGACCGCATGAACCAAGCAGGTTGCGAGCGTGAAAGGACGACCACATCATGTCCGGCGAAGAGGAGCTCTTCGGTAAGGTACTTGGCCAAATCGCCAGCACCTGCGATAGCGATTTTCATTTCTTGTAATGTGCTTGCTGGTCAGAGAAAGGAGCGTCCTTGAATGCACACCTTTATTCAAGCAAGCTGTGCACACTCATGAAGCAATAAAATCACTGCGCATGTGTTCTGACATGGCATGACCGACCAGGACTATGCTACGGATTCCTTTATGGAGAGTTTGTGAATGTTAGCCCGCCTCTGTCGGACAAAGCGTTCGGCTGAACTGGTCGTTGTCGCCTACCACATTCGTCCAAGCCCAATCTGGTGTCGGCAGGCTTATCAGCTCCGACTCGGGTGGCGGTCTAAAAACACGCTGCAAAAGTATGTCGGAAGGGAACGACGCGCAGCATCTGCCTCAGTGTGAATTTGTGTGATACGGAAGCCAACAGTGATGTTGCAGAAATGCATCGAGGCCCGCTAAGTTGGTTTTGATGGCTTCCAATTTGTGATTTTGGAGATGGGCTCCATTCATGATATAATAGACTTGTGCGTTCTCTAATCTAATGGTACTCGATCACCAAGTTCTGCTCATCTCTCCCAACAGTCCTACGTGTTCCTAAGATTGGTCCTTCTCTCAGATACCTACCGGCACACAACTAGCAAACAAATCGACCGGAACCACCAATCATGCCGGAATATGAATCACCACTCAATACCCATGGCTTTCGCTGTGTCAATAGTCCTGGCCTAGGCGAAAAGCTCTCCTCGCTCCTCCATATCTCTGGCGCAATCGTCATCCCGCCCAACGCCTCCACTGCGGTGACGTCCGGGCAGACCGGATACTCCGCCGACATGACCTACCCAAGCGACCTCAAGGAAGAAGTCATGAATGCGTTCCAGAACGTTGAAGACCAGTTACTGGCTGCCGGGGTCGAGGACGGGTTCAGATCCGTGTATAGGATGACCACTTACCACACCGAAATGGGTGACGGTATGATGGAGGCCTTGGAAGCGGCAACAGAAAAGTATTTTGGCAAGAATAGGCCAGCTTGGGCAGGCGTCGGCGTAACTGAGTTGTATGGTGGAGCTAGGATTGAGATCACTGCCATGGCCGTCCTCGCTTCCAAGAGTCGTTAGGACACCTATGTTGTGAATTACAGGCAGTGGAAGCATATAACTTGATCGTTGACTTATCCTGCCTTCATCGTGAAAAGAGGATGACAGCTAACTATATAGGTGTTGCAAGTATGTTCAGCTGTGAGCATTACAGCTGAACAAGGTGAGAGTATACGGAGTGGCCAATGGCCATCCATGCCAGGTGATATCTATATCGTCAGTTCAACCTCAGATGACCACATGCACGACGTGCCTTTGGGTTCCTGGCGCGAGGGAGGGTTCCCAGATATAGTCCCCCTGCCCCTTCCAATGCCTCGTTGGGTTTCTGCCTCCTTTCTCGTTGATTCTCCCCTCCTCTCCGTGCCTTCACCGTCTTTTTGGTCGAGTGACTTGATCTTCGTTCACTCTTTCACATCCTCTGACCGGGCTCCTCGTACGATGTTCTGCTTTCCCTTCTTGGCACAGATGTAGGTCTTTGGGACATTCGGGAGCCATCAGCTATGAGCACCAAGAACGAGAAAAGAAGTTGGAAGGGTCTAAGCCCAGACGAGCAGTTAGAGGCCACATGAGAGGATGGGCTCTCCGGGGACAGGTCGGAGATCGAGGAAGCCTGTTTATGCAGAACTTGCTAAGAGCAGTAAACCGCGGTACGAGGCGATGATGGAGGTTTGGAAAGCGTACGCCACCAGGAAGCCTTGCTCGAGTGTGCGAGAGAAACCTGACAAGGACTAGGTACGAAAGGAAATATCCGAGATCCGATCCTCGCAGCATGGAAGTTATGAAACACTTCGCCGAAGTGGTCGGACGCGCGACGCCTGGTAGGCTGGACAAGGAGGAGGCCCTGGATAAGAACAAGGAACGGACAACAGCCAAGACGATACCGAATAAGATTCGAAAATTCATGTCGCAATGGCAGAGGAAGACTCACCTTACCATCCCTAAAGACGTTCATGACTCGATGGCTCCTGTAAGTGTGTTGAAGCGCTTCCTGAGCTAGAGCGTCAACGTGTGGTTTCGTTTGCTGACGAGAGAAAGTACATCAAACATGTGCTTAGACACAAAATTCCGCTGTCCATCGAGGAGAAAGAACCCACCTATTTGACAATAGAGAACTATGTCGCCATGGAAGAGTTCCTCTGGCTGAACGATCATCACGACTACGCCCATGAAGCGAGCCGAGTGGACTGCAGTGCCCCATTGAAGATGCACTGCTACACCTCTGCGAGACTACAAGAAATCTTCAAGGCAAAGTACAAGGTCTGATCCTGAGCCAGAGGAGATGGATTAACGCGGTCGGTGCTAACAATGTCCAACAGGACCTTCTGTTGAAGATTCGGTCCAGATACCTTCCGGTGTGGAATGACAAGAAGAAGGATTGGTCATTTCTTGGTCATCATTGTTAATACATATCCAACCTGCGGAATCTCCCTCTGAGGGGGTGTATATATATATGCAGGATGGGAGCCATGATTGAAAAGATGATACAATGAATCAATGAGGAAATATTTCGAGTCCGAGCATAATCTCATATCCTTAACACCTTCTCTGCATGGTCGCATGGAAAGACGGAGAGCGGAGATTAAGATACGGTTCGAAAGAGAGCACACAAAAGGCATGCAAGGCAATCCCAACAAGTGAGTGGTGAATGTCGGCCGCTTCAAGGCTGAGATCCCCGTTGCTTACACTTCCGTCGACATACAGACCGAAGCATCCGCTATACGACAGGCTGAATCCTACACCTCCTTTGCTCGTCAACGGCCTTTTGTTTTTATTGGCTGTCATTATTTCGGCTGGCCATTTAAGGACTACAGCACCATCAAGGCGGTCCTAGATGCGAGACTGGCGTCCAGGAGGAGGTTTGTGATCATGGAGTGGGCGGACGCCGCTTGGGACGACCAAGTCTTTCCAGAGATGTCCGCAGATGGGGCAACCAAAAAAGTGAAGAACGAGTCCGCATGGGGCCACCAGTGTTCCGATTGGGCGAAAAGGGCTGGCTTTCCAGAGGGATGAGACTACATGCCTCTCGCCGCGAAGCGCTGATCAAAGTAGACGGTAGGGCGATCTTGCACCGAGCCAATTCACTGGACGAGAAGCTGACCCGGCAGCAGATGGCGGCTACTCGCTTGGACAGGTGATGAAGTTCGCCGCGCACAGAAACCCAAGAACTCTTGTTGGCCACTATCTGGACAACACAAGTAGCGTGGACGGTGCCGCCGTCTTCCTCGGGCTGGAACCACGGCGGGACCTTACAGAGGACTTTCGCAGTGCGTCAATGAAGAGACATCCCTATCTCCCGCAGTCAATTCCCAGCAAAAGTTTGGATGAACTAAAGCACCGCCCGAAATTTGTCGCCCTTTGCGAACAAATTGAGAACCTCTCTCTTCAACTCACCGCTGAGATCACCGAAGAAGAGCGCAAAGAACTGAAGGCCAAGAGACGCCAGGTTTATGATCGGCGACAGCTGCTGGTGGACGAAGAGTTGGAGAACTACCGCAAATTTGAGCGGCGAGTCCAGACCACTCAAAGTGGGGCAGATGACCACGGGGACTGGCGTCGCAGTTATTTCAATCGTGTCGTCCGCCACATGGTTCCTGAACGTGACGGCCTGACCCGAACTCTACCGCTCGCTGTCCCTCTGCGAAGTCCAGAAGGGATCTCTGCCCTACGAGACCTTGTGCTCTCCGGGCAAACGATTCTCGCGTTACTGCCCATGGGAGATTACTGTCCAGTACCTTCCTACAACCGGAACATCAAAGAGTAAGAGACATTCCTGCCAACCATGGGCATCGTTCCAGCTGCTGACAGGTCAAATTTAGTGTTGGCGTCAAAGACAGGTAGGAGCATATATACCGAATGCCAAGCCTGCCCATATCTTCGGATTTGTGAACAAGACGCACCCCGCCGCAGCTGCAGCCTCCCTGGTTTATCATAACCTCTAACCAAGGCCCGTCTGGCCATCCTTGCAAATCTTACGTCGTAATGACAGGCCAATGAGATTGACATTCTCCCTGTGCTCCAGGTCCAAGTCATATCCGAATCAGCTTGGCCATGTTCCAACAACATCCGCTCGACGTGAACGTGAAACTTCTCCGCCGCTTCTACGAACCATTGACTCTTCTTAGGGTGATGGATCCAACTCGTGGAGCACAGCGTCCTGATTTGACATTGGACCGTGGCTTGGACGAGCAGTCAAAGTTTTGGCGCAACTTCCTCGATCAGCTTGCATTCCTATGTGATTTCGAAAAGGGTGGGGATACGGTGACTGCTGTTGCCGTACAACGGACTGTTGAATATCCAATCTTTTCCCTCGCATCCAACTCAAAATCGAGGACCAAGGCAGGAGCCCATCTCCGCTGGATTCTCGCCTCGCTCGGACAGTTACATACGACCGAAAAGACAGCCCCTCAGGTGGAAGATGAGATGACCAATCGATGCATCGAATTTAGCCATCGAAGGATCAAGGTATATTCTGCATGGCTCGTTCGCGCCATCCGAAACGCTACGAGGACCATAGGTGATGTCGGGAATGCTGAAGGTACACCTGACCTCTTTGCGAGCAGCGGCCAGATTGATGTGAGACACATTTGACACAATACCTAGATGCATTTATTTTAAGGGAATTTCAGCAATTGGAGAATCTCGAATCAACTCCTCATCAACTATGTTCACATGCTCACGCTCTCCGGAGAAGTAGATTTCTGGAAATCCTTACCATCCGGCACGTTGCACACTCACATCGTGGGGTCTGGTCTGACATTCGTCATTATCTCGGGCGATTAGGATCCTGGTCGAAGGCCGTGCGCATTTTGATCCTTGGCGCCGCGACGTTTCCTCAGCGGATTGAAAATGCCCAAGTCGAAATCATTGGGACAAACGGGCCAGCTGATTTGCCGAACAAGCATCACTTGACTGATCTCAACGGTGTCGTGAAACGCATGGTTCCCATCGACCAAACTGCTATGGTTGCACAGTTAAATCAAGCACTCTTGGAAGCCAACGCGGTTGCTCAAGTCGAGGACAGATTTCGAGAGGAGTACGCGCATATCAAGCCCCGTCCACACGCTGAATTACTTGTTCTCGAATACTTCCATCGTAATGGACTTGACTTCGCCACAGATGATAGATACATCGGGTGCAGCAAGCCTTCATGCTACTGCTGTCACATCTATATGCAATGCCACCCCGGCCGATTTGCGCCCCGGCCCTGTCATGGGAATCTGTGGATCCACTGGGCCCCTCCGTACCCGCTTCCACTTGCTGACCGTGGTGCGCCGAGGAACGCAGTCCGGCCACAGGGACACCATACCTTCAAAATGCTGCAGGAAATGCTTATTTCCATCCGCCGAGACTTACAGGAACAAATATTGTCTAGGAGACCCAAGAGAGCAAGGCTACCAGATTCCACAACTGGAATGTCCAGTGTCGTGCTTGATGTAGACGCACTTCTAGCCTCCGCTCAAAACATTGGTCAGTCCCAAGACGGCCACGATTACGATGGTACAAACGATCTCAGTGGACCAGCGTCGGTACCGAACGATTTCGGGAGCGAGACTACGGGAGATGGCGCACTACACGAAGACATATCTAAAACCGAACATGACCTAAACGACAAACAGGAAAAAAAGAAATCTCATGATATGCAACATATCGAACCAGAAGCCCTTTCAGAAGGCGATGACGCAGGAATCTTACTGTTCTGGGGAAGAGAGACTCTTGTCTCATCAGAGACAGGTTCAGATATAGAACACAGATAGCTCTTGGCCAGCAACGGCGTAAGTTCATGTCTAGACTCGTATAAACATTGCCGAGGGACCGACGTCAGCACGATGTGCGACGAATGATATAGCATGCAAAACAAGCAGTCTGGTCCTCCGGAATTTCGTTCCAGAGTATCGGTCGTCACGTTACATACTGCACTGTACATCTGCAGGAGCGAATGGCCTCGGAGCTGTGCGAACATTTATTTTGTAGCCCGATGAAGACTTGGACGGCATGGTCATATGGCTGTGGGATGAGTTTGAGACCCTTGCATCGCGTTGGACGATCAGCAGAGCTTTATCTTCTGCAGGCTGGTCCGCGAAAGCGATACGACGTATTGCAAACTGTCGAAATGCTGACCTTCGTGACTACTACCAGAATGCAATGTCCGAGTATCCATGATATCAACGAGTCTACGTCGACGAATCCGGATGCGACAAAAGAACTGGCTTCCGCCGTTGGGCATGGTCGCCTCGTGGCAACCCCTGCCAAGATTGTCCGGCTTCCACGACGAAAGCATCAGATTCTACTCGCATTCAGTCAAGACGAAATCGTCATCGTGCACCGTGTTTCTAGACTTTATCGAGCAGTCACTCTGTCACTGTAACCCTTTTCCTCAAGGAAAATCTGTAATAATTCATGGATAATACATCGTTCCATCGCACGAAAGAGGTCGAGGTACTGTCAACCTAAGATCTAACACTAGAAAAATTGTCATAATCTCTGCGTTTTCAGGCGGAAAATAACCGTCAATCATAGTCCCCAACAACACCACATACGGAAAAGTCAAAATCCCTCCAACTATGTGTTTACTGAAGATGCATGGACCCACGCGAGAAATCCAAGATGCTGTCCGCTTCAATCTCATTCTGCTTGCAAAGTTTGACCCATAGAGGACTGTCTTTCACAAATCGCCGAGCGATGCCTTCCTCTACCTCTCCTTGCTCAATGAGGAAAGTAGGATTATGGTCCTCATAGACCAAGTCGAGGTCGAAGGATCTTTTAAGAAGAAAGTCAGCTGCTTTTTGATATGCGTTTTTGTGTGATTCCTTCTTCACCCGAGACTTGAGCCAGTCACAGTAGTCTTGTACATTGACATCGTGGAGGCCAGCGATGTCGAGAGACGCTTGATTTCGGGCCGCTGCATGGTCTCTGACTCTGTCGAAGATTGAGGTAGAAGAACGTTGGTGATCTGGACGGGGTCCCTGTCGAAAGGAACCGATCCACGATCAACACGCTTCTTCCGCATAGATTTGTTGTCGAAGGCTGTCCGGGATGTCGTCGTGGGATTCCAGAAGATGCTTATCCTCGAAATACCTGACGAGAGTTCGTAGATGGTGCGCTTTCAATGTGGACCTTTTCTGAGTTTGAGTGTCGTGCCAACACCAGGGCTGATGGACACAGGGTAGTCCCGGACAACGCATCAAGGCATAGACATATCGCCAGGCAGAGGGTTTGCCTGTTGTGGTTTCCTCGACGTCGATCTGAGCAGCACAGTCGGCCAGTGGATGTTGGGTAGCAGTCCCCCAAACTTTCGAGGTTTTGGTTGCTGCGCTAGTCGAAGTCAATGTGTTAAAATGTTGTGATACAGTACTGTAAAGGTGGACGAGACGCGGAAGACGGGTGAGAAGAGGCCGGCGGGGAGGTCGCGACTTCCGGAGTAAGACGCCACAGTATTCTGGGGACATGCGCTTTGATTCGTGATTGGATGAGGCGATGCACGGAGCAGTGCAGCAAAAGGATAAGGTAATGCATGAAAATGGTGGGTACCGGGTGGTCATCAAAGCGGTCGCGACCGGCGTCGGGCAAAAATTCACGAAGAAGCGTGGTAAAACATGAAACACTCCGCCACCACTCCGCCAACATCCCCTGCTCGTGATTGGATGCCACAATGCCATAAGAAACAGTGGAATGAGGTCGATAAAGAGGTCGCAACGTTCGCGGGAAACTCCATGAAGAAGCGTGGTAAAACATGGAACAGTCCGCCAACGTCCGCTGCGCGTGATTGGATGACGAAAGACATAGAAACAGTGGTGAGAGGTCGATAAAAGGTCGCGACCAGGAGTCAGACCCCATGATTTCTGTGGGAGGATGTGGAACGGGACACTAAGAGACAACCGTATAGTCCATTGCCCCGCTCACTCATACCCAGCAGGAAGTTTTAGGCTTGAGAAATACAGTAGTCTGTACAGTATGCGTAAGTTGCGATTTTGATTGATTGATTGATTGATTGATTGATTGATTGATTGATTGATTGATTGATTGATTGATTACATCATAGACTGTCCCAGCCGCCGATTAAGTGGCAGCTATGCAGCGTTCGACTATGAGTAGGATACCCCTACTGACAATCATAATATCTGTTCTGTATCTGTTCTACGTGTCGGACCCTTCCCGGTCCTCCTGTGTTTCTGTTTATCAATAAACACTCGTCTGCGCCGGTGTATAGTTGGACCGTGGACGCGACCGACGGGACTTGGTCCGCGGCATTCGTCCAATTCGCGTTCTGCTTGGCTGGATTGCTGTCGCTGGGGGCCCTGCCGAGCGCCTGGCTGGCCCCAGTGCGATAGCCACTGGTTTGGGAGTGCGCTGCATGAAGTGCAGATGTACTGTATGAGAAGTACGTGTAGTGTGCGAGGCTTGCTCGTTGATGCTTCTCGGGTCAATGCTCGCTCTCGACCATCGAGACACCATCGGCAGCCGGACGCGTCGCCACGGCGTCCTTCGCGTAGATGGCGTGCCACGATGTCGGCGAGCTGTGTAAGTGGCAGTGTGTGATGCGTCTGAAAGGTATTTTCTGAGCTATGGGTGGTGTTGGTAGTGATAGCATAATTCGATATGGTGACTTCCTGAAGTGTGTTCTCCGTGTGGTGGACCATCTCTTCCCCGTCAACTCCGCCTCTTCGCCGTATACTCTTCACTCTTCGATACCGTAAACCATAGTCGGGCAGGAAGATGGAATGCCGAAGTCCATCTTCCATTCAGGGGCGTACATGAAAGAGGCAACACTCTCTTCCCGCGTACTGGTACTGTATGTTGGGTGTTTCGGGAGGCTCGGAAGGTGATTTTCGACGTGTCGACGCGTCGTTGATGGAGATGGAGAAGATGGATGTGTCTGAAGATATGGTCTGTGGTGTGCGTGATCGCAGTGATGTCGTGTTGATTGTATGCCTCTTATTGATTCCGCCTCTTCGTCGCGTCTCTTCACGCTCTGACACCGTAAACTGCGGTCCGGCAAGAAAACGGGGAACCAGAGTCCGTTTTCCATCGTGGGCGTACATGAAAGGGAGGCCATTCCCTTCCCGTGTACTGGTACTGTATGTTGGGTGTTTCGTGAGGTGCAGAGGGTGGTTTTCGAGACTTTGACGCGTCGTTCATGAGAGGATCACCGCGTTGTTGAGCTCCTCCTGGCACTCAGAGACAGCCAGACTGTTACTCTGAGAGTTCCCAGCGGACACCACGTGGAGGTGGGAGCTCGTCGTCCGCCGCATAAATGTTGTAATAAGTGTAGACAAGACGCAGAAAACAGTGGGAAGACTCGGCCACCGGAGCGGTCGGGGGCAGCACGTGGAAAATACCGCAATGTCCTGAGGTGAAATTAAAGCGTTTTGGTTTGTGATTGGACGAGAGCATACACGGAGAATTGTGGTACAGGGTAAATCCTCAAAAAAAAAAGGGCGGTAAAATGTGAAACACTTCTACCGAATAGCTGCTCTTGATTAGATAAAGTAATACACACAAAACAGTGGGTGGTCATCAAAGCGGTCGAGATAATCGGTGGCAAAAGTCATGAAGAAGCGTAGTAAACAATACGCCCACTTCGGCATCGCAGCCCCGAGTCCAGAATGGCTCGCAAACCTTAAACCCCGTCCCCGGTTTTTCAGGTTTTCATATATTCGGAAGTCCAAGCTCCGTCCTGGTAAGTGCAACGAATTTTCAGGGATTAAGCCTTGGCGTACCAAAGTACGGAGTGCTCATTGGTGCGAAAGGTAAAAGTCATACGTATCATCACGTGGTCTTCTCTAAACACTGCCGTATGTCTATCGAACCTAAGCACGTGACTAAGATAAAACTAGAGTGTCTCTGCGAGCTAAGCGCCTGCGGGACGAGGGAACTCCTGAGAGTTTCAGGCAGCATCTACGAATCGAGACCACGACGAGGGAGATGGCGACAGTAGAAGCTCTTGCTTTGGGCCGGGAGGCCACGGGCTCTACTCTTCAGTTCTCTTCTGCCACCGAAGGCACTGCGACTCAAATCGGCACCACCCCAACTACTCCAATGCGCTCGGACGCGTGTGACGCGCACACTCCGCAAACTCAACGACGATCCCTACGGCCCGGGAAGCCAACGGAACGCGCACGCGAGATCGACGAAGGAGCTGTCAATGACATAGACATTGATAGCGAGAACACCGAACATGGACCACAGACGAAAGGTCGGCGTGGTCGCCCACCGAAACCACCACAGGCGCAAGCCCAAACCGAAACACCCGCTCTAACCATGGCCCAAGTGATCGAACTGGTCCAAAACATGGCAATGATCTACGAGACGAAAATGAAAGACCACCTGAAGGCGTACGAGAGCAAGATGGAGGCATCATTGGAGATCGGCCAAAAGAACATGGAGCGCATTGTGGCATTGGAAACCCAGAATCAACGTATGATGGAACTGATCAAGAACATCGCGAATGAAGAAGTCAAGATGACACAAAGCTGGGCCCAGGTAGTTGCAAACGCGCCCGCCGCGAACAGTTCCTCAGCCACCACACCAGCGTCCCGACCGTCCCTTCCCAGAAGCTCGGTCAACCCTAGCAGCTCCGCTTCCCAACCGTCGAATTTATCGCAGTTAGCTATCATAATCGATCTCAGTCAGACCAGCGAACGAGCGAGGGATTTCCCTCAGCTGAAAGAGAAAGTCAACGAGGCGCTCAAAAAGCATGAAGCAACCCGAGAGGTGACCTGTACGGGGGTTGCAGCGGCGTGCGGGAGACGAATACCACGTCAAGCTCTCCTTCGCGTCGGAGGAGATGGCGAAGACGGCACGACAGCACGGCCAGTGGCTCGAAGAGGATCGATTCGACCAGGCCCGCATGCTCGGGGGACAATGGTACCCAGTCAAGGTTGATCGAGTTCATCGCATCACCCTCAGCCTGGACGGGACGTTGTCCGTGGACAAGGAAGCGATGGAGGCAGTGGCACAGGAAAACGGGGTGCAAATTGAACGAATTCGCTGGCTCAGTCGTACGACGGACAAGATGTATAGATCGGTGGTCATATTCTTGACTCACCAACACGAAGCCGATGCCCTGTTAACGAGAGGAACCATGGACGTCGGCGGGGAGATGGCGTACACGCGGCGATACGAACGACGACAAACTCCTACGAGATGCTACAAGTGTCACCAATACGGCCACCAAGAAGCTCGGTGCCAATCGAGCGAGGTGGTGTGCGGCCGATGTGCACAATCGGGGCATGCGGCGCCGACGTGTACGGCCCACGGCACGCGATGCGCGGCCTGTCAAGGACCACACCCGGCGACTGATCGGTCGTGTCCACGGTACATGGAGCTCCTTCGCCGGTTCAATCCTGTGGAACGTCATGGTTAGGCCACTCCGAGTCCTCCAAGCGAATCTGGGTAAAAGGCCGGCGGTACAGCATAGTCTGATGAATGACGAAACGTTGCAAGACCATGGGCTCCTGATGATCACGGAACCGGCATGCTTCACCCGCGACGACGGGAGAGTGATCGCTCCACCCTCATATCATTTGAGATGGGAACAAATCCTCCCGACGGAAACAGCGGTGGGGGCGCGGTTTCCAATCCGAACACTCATCTACGCCGGCGTCCAGCTACGTGCGCGCAACGTCCAAGTTGCCTCGCCAGACATAGCCGCGATACAATTCCAGGCTGAAGGGCGGTTATTCCTGGCCATCTCGGTATATGTACCACCGGCGGACACAGGGGCGCTTCAAATCACCGCACGACTGATCAGAGAGGCGGTCAGACGGCACGGAACAGGACGAGAGATTATCGTCGCCGGTGACTTCAATCGACATGACCAACTATGGGGTGGCGACGCGATCGGTGCTTCACCTCGGCAGGGTGAGGCCCAGGAGATTCTGGATTTGATGGATGACCTCGATCTACGGCTTCTCCTCCCCCGCGGCACGGTCACCTACGAGGGCTCGAACGGTGACAGCACCATCGACCTCGTTTTCGCCAGTGCCGGTCTGGCCGAAGATCGACTCATCTGCGAACCGCATAGTATGGAGCACGGGTCGGATCACATCGCCATCAGCACCACTTTCGCGATTGACGTGCCCGAGGTAAGTACGCCACCTCGAAAGGTCTTTAAAAGCGCGGATTGGAAACGGATTCGGACGGCCATGGCCCGAGAGGTGGGAATTCTCCCTGAAAGTATAGGAGACAATGAAGTGGAGGAGCAGTTAACCCGCTTAAATGAGGTGGTGCGGAGAGTACTCCATCAACACTTGCCTATGTCGAGGCCCTCACCCTATACGCGACGGTGGTGGAATCTCGATCTCGCGAGACTCCGACAAGATTACACCCAGGTACGAAACCGCTGTCGGGGCCTGCGAAGGGCTGGCACTGGCGATGGATCGCTGGAGCGCGCGGCCCGAGAGGCCAAAAAGCGCTTCCACGACACGGTGAAACGACAAAAGAAATGTCACTGGGACGAGTTTCTACAGAACAGCGACAACATCTGGAAGGCGGCGAAGTACCTCCAACCCGACGGGAGCGGTGGTTTCCACCGCATTCCTGGACTGACGGTCGGAGACCGATTGGTGGAGGACAATGCCCAAATCAGTCGGCTTCTGCTTGACGAGTTCTTCGACAGCAGGATTCACCCTCCGAGACAGGACCACGTGCCGAGGGCAGAAGACAATCAGCTCCCGTGGGAGCCACTGACCATGCATGAGGTAAAAGGAGCGGTATTCCGGGCGCAGCCATACAAAGCACCCGGCCTGGATGACGTGCCCGCGGTTGTCTGGAAGGAGCTGTGGCCGATCCTCGGTCGGTGGATCTTCCTCCTCTTTGAGGCGTCATTGAGAACAGGAATCATCCCGCAAGCATGGAAACAGGCGAAAATCATACCGCTGCGCAAGCCAGACAAGCGGAACTGCACGAACGCAAAGTTCTATCGACCGATATCGCTGTTACCCACGCTGGCGAAGGCGTTAGAATCGGTCCTAGCAGAGAGGTTATCCTTCCTAGCCGAGACGTATTCTCTCCTGCCAAAGAACCAGTTTGGCGCACGGAAACGTCATTCGACCAGCCAAGCTCTCACGCTCCTGCAGGAGAAGATCTACGACGCTTGGCGAGACGGCAAAGTGCTCAGCCTGGTCAGTTTTGACGTCAAGGGGGCATACAATGGCGTCGACCGAGACGTCCTTCTCCAACGCCTGCGATGTCGCCAGGTGCCCGAGACTGTGGTGCGCTGGGTGGAATCGTTCTGCTCGAACCGACAAGCGTGTGTGTTGGTCAACGGTGAGACATCCGACATGGTCGATCTCCCGCAGTCGGGACTACCCCAGGGCTCCCCCCTATCAGCTACTCTATTCCTCTTCTTCAACGCAGACCTGGTTCAGACCCCCATCAACAAGACACAAGGGGCCATCGCGTTCGTGGATGACTATAATGCCTGGGTCGTGGGACCCAGTGCGCGGGCGAACGTTGAAAGGCTACAAACAAAAGTCATTCCACATGCAGAGGCGTGGGAAGTCAGCAGCGGGGCGGAGTTTGCACCTGACAAGATGGCCCTCATCCACTTCTCCCGCACGCGGCGAAGGGTCGAGGATGCTGGACTACTAATGATCCGAGGGGTCGCCGTAGAGGCGTCACCGCACGCCAAGATTCTGGGGGTGGTCATGGACGGGCAGTTGCGATACCATGAACACGCAGCACGGATAGCGAAGAGGGGTCTCCGTGCGGCGCAGGCTTTGCGGAGACTGCGAGGTATGCAACCGAGCATGGCGCGACAGCTCTACACCTCGATGGTGACGCCCGTGGTCGACTGCGCGTCGGTGGTGTGGTCGATCTACGCGTCGCACAAATTAATCGCTGCAGCGGAACAAGCACAGCGCCTTGGTGCCATGGCGATCACCGCGGGATTTAAGACGGTATCCTTGGCCGTGGCCGAGGCTGAAGCGGCACTGGAGCCGGTCAGTGATCGCTGGCGGAACCAAGTCCGCCGGGTTTGGATTGACTTGCACACCTTACCCGCTACACACCCGCTTTGGCGGGTGAAGAGAGCGAACGAGCGAGAACAGCGGCGTTTCGTGTCTCCCATGCGGACAAGCGGGAAGACGATGGCAGGCCTAGGCGAGGAGCGGCTGGAGCGCATTGAGCCATTCTGTATGTCGCCATAGAAAACCCGAGCCAGCGTAAGAATCCTAGGACGAGAGAAAGCCGACGTCGCAGCCAAAAACCCGGACCTGGAGAGGACCGTCTTTACGGGAGCGTCTGGTCGAAATGGCAGAGTGGGAATTGGCGTGGTATACTTGGGCTCTCGGGCACATCGCATGGTCAGCAAGACCCTCGGATCCACCACGTCGATCAACGCCCACCATGGCGAATTGGTGGCCCTGTATGAGGCCTGCCGTGTGGTGGATCAACGCTGGCCCGATCAGGACACCGACCCAAGAACACCGGTGCGGATCCTCAGCAGGAGCCGCTCGGCGCTGGATGTAGTTGCGAAGCCAGGGCAACAGTCAGGACAATGGATCGTCCGAAGAATATACGAGTTGCTCGGTCGTCTTGCCGCGTCGTGGAAGCCACGGGTGGTCTTCCAATGGATCCCAAGCGAATCCGCGACCCGCGGCAGTGAACTGGCGCATGACTTGGCTCGGAGAGCAGCACACCCAAATCGCCAGATCCCGGTAGGGACGAAGTTGAAATCGACCGCTAGAAGGAAGCCGAAAGGAACCCACGACGAACAGAGGAAGCAGTTCGAGGCGCGCCCCGGTGGCCGGTACACGAAACAGCTCGATCGTGCTCTCCCTGGCAAACACACGCGAAAGCTCTATGATAACCTCAAACGCGACGAGGCGCAAACCTTGTCTCAACTCCGAACGGGGAAGAGCAGACTCAACAGGGCCCTTTACAGGATCAAAGCGGTGGACTCGGACCAGTGTGAATGGTGCCGCCGGCCCGAGACGGTCAGACACTTTCTGACGGAGTGCACGCGTTGGACCTTGCAGCGCCAACAATATCTTCACGCAACTACGGAGCGGTGGATGGACGTGTCATTCCTTCTGGGAGGGTGGACCAATGAAAGAGTGGACGGAGCGCTCAAGGAATGGAAGCCGAACATGGAAGCGGTCAGAGCGACAATCCGCTTTACGAAAGCCACCGGTCGATTGAAGCTCGACCCTGAACAAAGGAGGTAACCCCGATTTGAGAATTGAACGAGCCCACACCCGACAGTTCCTGTGCCGATGAAAGAACAGCAACACTCAAGAAGAACAGACTTGAGGGCGAAGTGTGTAGCTCGTAAGGGGATCACAGCAGCCGCGAGGGTCGTATGCCGCCGAAGGACCAACAGCAGGAAGTACCATGAACCGGGACGTTCGCCTGTAGCCATGTAGAACTAGCTAGTCCCCATTGGGCCTAGCCCGCCTGGGCGTATGAAAATCAATCAACCATTAATAGGCAGTCCTCGAGAATACCTTAATTAAGTGCGTTAACGGTAAGTTTGACGATAAGGTTAACAGCCAATTAGATGTCGGCAAGTACTTAGTTATGTCAAAATGTCGTGAATGTCAGCATGCAGACTATTGGCACCCCCAGAAGGTATTAAACAATGCTCTGCCGGCGACATGGGACGAGATACAACGTCTTTAACTAGACAGTTCGATAATTTGGTAGACTACGCTTTGACTAGGAGACTTCGCATTGTGAAACGTGATTTGAAGAGGGGATGGCGCAAAGCTCACGCGGAATATTATTCTCTGGAGGCAGATATGCCGTGCGCCAGACAGAGGTCTGTCAAATTGCTCATGTCATAGATTCACCGTGATCAATTGGATGGATGTCTCTAATCTCGGAAATGACCTGAACTCGTCCTGCTTTACACACTGGATCTGTATCGGCATACTCTTCCC